CGGGGTGGGTTTGTACCAAAGCCACTGATGCTTGGCAGAGGGCTTCATGGAGTCTCCAAAGATGCGGGGCCACTGCTGAGCTCAGAGCCTGCGGGTTGGGGCTGAGGGTCACAGGGCCCACGGGTGACGTCCCCAGGCGAGCCTCATTACCTTGTAAAGCATGGAAAGCCAGGAGTGGCCTTGGTGGGAGCAATTTTAAGAAACAGTAATGAGAAACTAACAGCTGGCTTGTGCTCTGGAAGATCCTGTTCCGACACCTGCCACAAAAGTCTGACTGCTCCCAGCCTCAGGCCTCCGGCAGTAAATGGGAGGAATATTCGAACCTACGGCGGCGTCTGGATGCTGAGAGGAGGGAGGAACACTAGCTCTTTCCAGGCCAAGTCAAGCGCTGGCGCCCGTTTACTTGTAAGAAACGGAAGAGGCATCTCACTAAGTCAGAGCTCGCCCAGCCCGCCCGTCTCCAAAAGCCCCTGGCCCCTCCAGCCAGGCCTCCCCTGACTCCAGCCTCCCTCTCGTTCTGACCAGTCACCTGCACAAAAATGCCAAACACTCAGTCGTGTCACCATTTGGAAACTGCCTTACAGTTTCCCATCTGGAAAATCACTTCTGTGATTGAAACTTTGAAACTTAAACTTCTCATGCAATTATAGCTGTTCACTAAGCAATGAGAAACCCCTGGCCTGAGAGCCAGCTACACACTGGGGGCCTCTGGCTGGGCCAGGGCTCCGCTCAGGGTTCAGGGCAGACGGCGCTGGGCAGGGAAGGGGCCCTTCTTCTCCCTAAACAACTAATATCAACTACTTAGCCCGCATACCCCCCCTTCTCCCTCTCCCTCTCTTTTCCTTCCATCCTTCCATCTTTCATCTGTCTTCTACTACCTGGCTATCATTTATTTATATCTGCCTGTCTAATTATCTATCTATCTATCTATCTATCTATCTATCTATCTATCTGTCTATCTATCTTAACTATCCATCCATCCATCCATCCATCCACCATCTTGCTCATGTTTATATTAATCCTTACTCTTTCAGTTAAATCCTCAGCCTTGCTCTGGGTACATCCAGGAAGCAGGGACTGCTCCTTGCTACTTCATTTGGGGCCGAGCTGCCAGGGGGAACATTCATAAATGTCTGGAAGGTGAGGAAGCACTGAGGCCAAGAGGTGAACCCACTAACAGTGTTGGAAGGGCAAAGCCAAGTGCAGTGTGCCAGCAGGGACCCAGGCAGAGCATCTGTCTCTCCCACCTCCACTCGGGCGTGTCCTCTGCGAGCCCTCAGGGTCACCTTTTCTAGCCTGGCCCCTTCCCCTGTGGAGTGAGGTTTTGGAACCTCATCCATCTGGCTGAGCCTCACTACTTGGGTGTGAGTTTCAACATGATTTTAAACGTTAAACTCAGCCTGCACTTGGACCAAGCCCCCTCCTCCACTCCCGTCTGCCAGTACCCTTCTTCCCTCTTTTCTTCTCCTCTGAAATATCAGGTGTAACTGGAGGGCAGCCGGGCTGTGCTCGCCACAGACTTGGAGAGGGCGGCCAACTCACAGAAGGGCAGAGACACTGGTGTGGATGGAGAGCCACAACACAGCCAGACACGGGAGACACACCCCAGTGGTCACTGAGTGAGTGACCACTGGACAGACAGACAGATGGCCGGCTGGCTGAGGTAATGGATAGACAGCTGGATAAAGGATAACAGCTGACTCTAACACATAGAGAGTTTTTCCAAACAGAACCTGTTAGAGTCAGTGTATTTGGGGCATCCTTTGGCCCATTACTGATTTTTCCTGGATGAAGTTGCTCTTAGAGGCTAGAATGAGGCAACATAACCCATGGCGTTGGCCAGTGGGACCAAAGGAGTCTTCATTAGTAACCGTGAGGCCCCCGCGGTACCCACCTGTCCTCCGTGGCCCTTCGCGGGGTGACCAGTGGCGAGGTCCATCTTTTCGGGGCTGTTCGGTGCTGCTCTCCCGGCTCTCACCACTGGGGGCGCTGCTGCCACCCGTGGGTGGGGCGCCTCCTCCGTCCACATCCTCAATGTTGCCAGCGCCTTGGCAGCCAGCACCGCCATCCTTCAGCATTCTGTGAGAGGGAGAAAGGCTTCCAGGGTTCTCACCAAAACATTTCCAAGTCCCCTAAACGCCCCATCACATCCATGTCTAACTCAGGATGGCTGACCTCACTCTACAGGTGAACAGCACACCTGGGATGCAGGTGGAGAGAGGGGCTTCCGTCCCCCAAAGCTCAGTGTCTGGGAAATGAATCCACTGTGCCTGGCAGAAGAAGCCACAGGCTCCACCTGCCGCAAGAACCCTCAGCTTTTATGCTCAACTAGGAGCTCGGCCAGATTCCGGCAAAACACTTTAGAATTCACTCCCACCAACCCAAGACATGATTACAACGCGTTAAGATTTAGAGGATGAGAGATTAGGGCTGGGGGAGTTTAAGTCCGGTTTTCTGTGGTTACTCCCACAGACCCACCACCTCGGCAGCTCTGTGAGCACTCAAGCCCGAGTCTCAGCCCATGGAAGTGGGAGGGGGGGACAGGCTCTCACCTGTGAGGTTTCCCACTGATTCAGTGTCTGAAACTGCCTTTTGAAACAAATGATCTGTCGGAGGGCACTTGGGCCTAACGGATTTCATCACGGGAGGAAATAGTGATGGACAGTGAGATTCTAACCCGGAGTCCTGGAGCTCCCGTGATGAACTGTGAAGATGCTAACCTGGAGCCCGGAGCCCCCGCGATGGACAGTGAGATTCTAACCCGGAGCCCGGCGCGCCCAGCCCCTCCCAGCACCCAGAGAGAGAACGGCTTTGCTGTGAAGGCCCACCTCAGCCACTTGGTTCGGAACCACGCCCTGAGGCCGTCCCGAGTGATGGGTCCGCTCCAGACATTCTTCAGCTGCCTGTGGGTCCCTAGGTAGGATGTGGTGAGCGGGGAGACATACATGGGGTACCCCAGGGGCTGGTCGCACGAGGAATTGATCAGGTTTCGGAGGACCTGCTTGTTGTTCTGGATGCTGCCGCGCTCCGGGTTGCGGTTGCGGAGGAATATGAGCTCCTGCTGCTGCCCTGCCCAGAGTCCTCGCACGCACTCTCTGTTCACCTGCGGGGCGGGGCGGACACGGGAGAGAGCAGAGGGCGCGGGCTCTCAGTCCGCTGGCCTAACCTGAAGACAGAGCGCAAGGCTCTGGGGCTGAATACCTGCGAGCACGACACTCTGGCCTAAAGCGCTTCCGCAGTCAAGCCAGGACGGCAGCCCTGCAAGGTGGATGGGATGCCATTTTCTTGGGGAGACAGAGAGCGACTAAGCAGGAAGTAAGGCTTTGTTTCAGCCCGGTGGTTTGACGCTATAGGAAAAGGAGAATCTCTGGGGGGGATGTTCTTGGGCCCAGGACCAGGTTATTGGAGGAAGATCTGGAATTTTAGAGAATTTGAAAGTCTTTAAGAACCAGCTTCCCTCTCCCCCCCCCTTCTAATATATATGTATATATATGTGTGTGTAT